GTACACAGTCTGATAGCCCAGGTATCAGTCAATGGAACTTTAGCACCTTCCACTGCTGGACTTCAGAACTTTCCTTGGCCTATGACATGTCAGTGTAATGAGTCATTCTTTATGGCTCAGGCAGACTGATGCAGACTCCAAATCAGGGCCCTGGTGGGTTTGATATTATCTATAATAGGTCACAATTACCTGAGGTAGGCTTTTGCCCATGTCATTAGAATGAGTCATTCTTTATGGTTCAGGCAGACTAATGCAGAATCTAAATCAGAGGCTTGGTGGGGTTGGTATTACCTGCAATAGGTCACAATTATCTAAGGAAGACTTGTCCAGCTCTCACTAAGAGTATAATAGGTGATGTACAAGTAGTCCCTAGGCATTTTATTCCCAAATATCAAAATCTGCAACCACTTGTTTCTTAAATAATCATGTAAAATCAACAATGGGAGGATTCGCTATTAAGGAAATCAATAGGAGAGTATAATCCCCAATGTGTTATGTCCCTCAGTTTTCACAGATGTATATTTTCCAATAATATTAATGATTTTTCATACTACATGGTAAAGAGCCAGGTAAAGAATTTGCTGTAGTTGTGGTAGGAAATTGCACATTGCCTATGGAATCCCACCCTGAATTCCAGTAAATCAGATAGATTACCAGTGTATCCACTGTCCCCATCCTTCTACAGCTGCTATGCCTACTAAATATAACTCCAAGCAACCAGTTTGGATTGGGATAAGAGCCTTTATAAATAAAAGTTCCCAAGCTCGGAAGGATGTTTTAATCAATTCTAATATTTTATCTTCTAGAAGTTCCCAGTCCTGTGGCATTTTTCATAATTTAAGAAAACCTTTAATACTAGCAGTAATCACAAATCAAAATCTAAAAAGCAATACCTTTTGCAACAGCATAAAACATATGAAACACTTAGGCATAAATCTGACAAAAAATGTTCAAGACTAGCACACTGAAAACTACAAAACATTGCTGTAAAAAGCTAAAGAAGATCCAAAGAAAAGGGAAACACATGTGGTGTTCATGGGTCAGAAGACACACTATTGTTAAAATATCAATTATCTCCTCATATTGATTCTCTGCTCATTTACAGATGCAATGCTATCTCAACGAAAATCCCAACAGGACTTTTTATAAAAATTGGCATGGTAATCCTAAAATTTATATGGAAATGAAAATGACCTGTACTAGCCAAAACAACTTTGAAAAAGAACAAAGTTGGAGAGCTAAGAGTACCTGATTTCAAGACCTATTTTAAGGCTACAGTCATCAAAACAGAATGACACTGGAGTAAAGATTAACAACTGGATCAATGGAGCAGAATACGGAATGCAGAAATAATTGGACTTCTGATTTTTGACAAAGGTTCAAAGGCAATTCAGGAGCAAGAACTGCTTTGTCAACAAATAGTGCTGGAACAATTGAAGATCTGTATGAAAAAAGAAAGTACTCTAACCCATATCTCTCATCATATATAAAAATTAACTCACGATAGATCATAATCCTAAATATAAAAGTTAAAACTACAAAACAGTTAGAGGAAAACACAAGAGAAAGTCTTTGTGACCTTGAGCTAATCAAAGATTTCTTATCTTTATCTTCTTAGACATGCCATGAAAAGCACAATCCATAGAAAAATAAATTAGTTAACTGAACTTAATTAAAATTTAAAACTTCTGTGTTTTCAAAGACATTGGTAAGTGAATGAAAAGACAAAGCTAGAGTGGGGGAAAAAATCCTTGCAAATCATATATATGATAATTGACTTGTATCCAGAGTATATGAAGAATTCTCAAAACTCAGGAAGAAATAATCTAATTTTTTTGAAACATGCAAAAGTGTTGAACAGATACTTTATGAACTAAGATACATAAAATGGCAAACAGGTACCTGAAAAGATGTTCAACATCATTAGGGAAATGCATACTAAAACCACAGTGAGATTCCACTACCTATCACTGGAATAGCCAAAAACCTGACCATACCAAGTATTGGTGAGCATGTGAGGAAACTAGAATTCTTATAACACTGCTGGCAGAGATATAAAATGGTATAACTAGTTTGGAAAACGGGTTGACAATTTCTTAAAAAGTTAAACATACACTTACCATATGATCCAGCCATTTGATCCCTAGGTATCAACCCAAGAGAAATGAGAGCACATAGCACATGTCCATAAAAAGAATTATGCAGGAATGTTCAAAGCAGCTCTAACAGGTTAATGGGTAAAAAATGGATATCCACACAATGAAAAGCTGTTTGGCAACTTAAAGCTGTGTATTGAAACACAACAACATGGATGAATTTCAAAATAATTATGCCAAGTGAACGAAGCTAGACAAAAAAGAGACATACTGTATGATTCCATGTGTATAAAATTCTAAAAAATGCAAACACATAGTAACAGATAATAGATCAGGGGTTGACTGCAGATTGGGGGAGCAGGACGGGTAGGAGACTGAGATGGGAAAGGAACAGAGAAAACTTTTGGGGTGATGGATAGGTTCTTCATTTGATTGTGACAATGAGCTCACAGGCATATACACATAGGTCAAAACTTACCAAGTTGTATAGTTTATTATGTCAATTATATCCCAAAAGAGCCTTTTTAAGAAGAGAGTAAACCTTTAAGTCCACTTCACAGATTGCACCTCTTAGAATTCTCCACGTGGGTCAGAATTAGCTCAGAACCAGTCACTGATACTACTTCTCACCCTCTCCTTTTTGGAACTTTCCTTTGCAACCATTTCCTAACTTTGCATCCTGTGGGCTCCTCTCCTACCCCATAGAGCCATTTGGTTTTCTTCCCTGGTTCTCATCCTTCCTCCCATGTCTTAAGCGAGAACGTTCTTTAGGGTCTGCAGCTGGTCTCTCTTTTATTCTCATGTACACTCCTTCCTGAGCAACCTCTCCACCTGCTTGGCCCCAGCCACCATCTGTACTCTAAGAACTCCCAATCTGCACTGCAAGACTTGTCCTCTCTCCTGACCTCCAGATTTCCACAAGCTTCCCCTTCCATTACCTCCAATTTAATGAGTGCAAAACTATAAATGTTCCCCCATCCAAACCTGCTGCGCAGCCTGGTTCAGGTCTCCCCTTCCAGCACTACCATCTCCCCAGCCACCCACACCCGGCACAGCGCAGTGGATGAGAGCACAGGTTCAGGAGTATGGTCCCGGATCTGTCACTTATTACATATGCATCTTGGGAGAGTTATTTAACCTCTCTGTGCCTCATTTCTTCATTTGTTTAATGAGTCTCTTCCTTATAAGGTTACTCCGGAGATTAAATAAGATGCACATAGAGTATTTATGAGGTGCCCAATACAGAGTAAGTGCTCAGTGATTAGTAGTATCATGGGTGACATTTACCTCTCTCTCTAATTATTCACCAAGGACTGTTCATATGATTCCTGCAGCCTCTTGTCCTCCTCTTTCCCTTCCCTCTGCCGCCCCCATCTCAGACTCATTATATCTTGATACCATGTTGAGACAGTCTACTCTGATCTTCTCTTCAGTCCATTCTGTCAAAGGCTACCTAAACGAACCCAGGTCAGCTCATGAACTTCCATGATCAAAGACCTTCCATTGGTCCCCCTTGTCCAAACAGTGCAGTCCTTAGCAGGGCTTTCAAGAGTCTATGCCTTGATGCTACCCCATTTTTCTACCTTCATATCTCTGGTCTGAACCCCATATCATTTGGGTACTCTTATTTTTTTCCCTGTCCTCCATAAACCTTGCCCTGACCTACTGTCATGTATTTGTCTAAGGAGGTCACTCCACAGCTCCCCATCCCCAGGCTTAGCTCAAATGCTATCCTTTTAATGACCTTGGTCCAATTCCCTAACTGGATTCAGTCAGTCTCTCCTCAGTGCTTACATTGCACTTTATAGGTCAAATTAGGAGCTTACATTTTTGTCATTTATATATTTGCGTGTTACTCTTACTTACCTTTGCTAGGCATTCAGTGAAGGCCTGAATGCTGAATGGAATAAAATGGAAAGAAAGAACATGACAAACAGTCTGCCTAAAAGCTGCCTAACATCTCCCTGGTAATGTCACCTGCTCATGGAGTTTCTTTGTAGACTGACCCTTTACAAATTAGCATCCTGTTCAAGCTGAAAGAGCACCAGAGAGCCATCTCATTGGAAAGCACCCAAGAGAAATAGCAACAACACCACTCAAGGGAGTGTGGAGGGGGAGAAGAGAAGCAAATAAGGTACGACAGATGCTGACTTAATCTTGGCTATTCTAAATGGCTCTTTCTGCAATTAAGATGTCTCTCTTCCGAGAGGAAGCTGTTTACTGTTCATTGCTTAGGAATGCCAGCCAAGCATCCCAGAGATGCTCTCCATTCTTCTTATTTTATAAATTAGGGTGCTGCTTTACAAGGGGGACTAAGGCTCTGCATGGCCATGCAAAATCCCTGGTGAAAAGAATTCAAGAGGCACTCACAACAGCATGTGCTTGATAGAATCTGCCAGTCACTCACCCAGGCAGCTCCCCAGTGGGGACAGGGACAGGGTTAGAACATGAAAAGAGGTTAGAACGTGAACCCAAGAAGGTGGCTGTCAATTTCCCCTCCAAATTTCCCAAATTCTCCAGGAGATTCTTTGATTATGGAAATGATTCTTTCCATTGCTTTTAGTTTAGTAGACCAGTATCTTTGAACTTTTTTCACTAAAGCAGTCTGTGGCAACTCAACTTAGTTAATACATCAGTGTCAAAATGATTTACTGCCCTTTCTTTTCCCAGAAACTCTGTAGTTACCACACAAACCACAACACTAGCATTCAGGGCCCACCTTCTACTGCTAATGGTGGACCACAGAAATGTATAAGCAAAAGATAACTAAGAGTACAAACCACTAAAGCAGTGAGGAAAAACTGATGCATCAAGGGGAGAAGGAAAAGGGGCTATATTACTATCCATTCCATCACTATAACACTTGTGGCAATTACCTCTTTCTGTGTCTATTTCCACTCTCAGAAAGCAGGGACCATGACTTACTATTCTTTGTACAGCCAGCATCTAGCCAAGAGGTTGGGTTCTAGTAGGATTAAATATTTGTTGAATAAATAAATATACCAGTGCACCTCTCAGAAAAGTATTCAGAGGAGGACATACTAGGAAGAGTTTTTACATATGGAAAGAATATTGCTCCTCCTTCCTTGATATTAGTTATATCAACTACATATGAAGGAAAATTCACTCTTTCTAAACACAGGTTCATAGGTACATGAACATGGCTACTAAGTAATTTTCAACTCTGAAATTTAGAAAATGCAGGAAAAATTCTTCCCATGTCTGGGAATATATAAATAAAATATCTATAACAATGAGTTTTGCTTGGAGTCAGGTACTTTTCATTCCAGAGAAACTGAATACAAAGAAATCTAGGCTTCCTGGTGTCATTCCCAACCCTGGCCAGATAAGTGCTCCTCTCTGGAATGGTTTGGAGGAATCACATTCAAGTCAGGTACTTTTCATTCCAGAGAAACTGAATACAAAGAAATCTAGGCCTCCTGGTGTCACTCCCAACCCTGGCCAGATAAATGCTCCTCTCTGGAATGGTTTGGAGGAATCACATTCAAATTCCTCTACACTTTGTAGCTGAGTTATAGAGTAACCTGCTAGCAATCCTCTCAGAATTCACGGGGCTGTTGAAATAGAGCAAAGTCCACAAGATTTCCATCGAGATGTGCTGAGCAAAGGCCGGAGCCCCAGAAGAAAACAAGTGCAGACTCTGAGCAAAGCTGCCCTCACCTAGAGCGTGAACTCGCTGGCCCCTGGGGTCTGGGTGATTGGCAATGAGCGCTGTGATGTTGGCATTCATGAGGGAGCTCCCCGGCTGGTTCCTGCTCGCTGGGGTCTTCCTACCTGTGACCTTGCTGCTGCTTCTTCTCATCGCCTACTTCAGGATCAAACTGATGGAGGGTAAGTGTGAAACCACACCAGGCAGTGGCTCGAAGTCCTTTCCCATGGCACACCTTTGCAACTAGCCGATGCACGGTCAGTGTTTCTCAGGGGTGTCTGGGGCAATACATGGTTGTGATCTGTAGGTACTTCTCACTAAGCGCTCTCTCCAGATACCTTCATTGGTGAACAGGCAGTGTGATCCTTTCAGCAGTGTGGATCCTGAGTGAGGCTCTGCAGGCCTGCGGTGAGGACCCCTTAACTGCAGACCCCGCCCCAGAGATCGAACTGCGAATCAGCCATTTTGACCCACGATTACTTATCTCTCTCTCACAGGGCAATATATTCCACAAATGTTAAAACACGTGTCATGGTCTGCCTTCTCTACCTGACAGACACCTATTGCGTGTGACGTGTGTGCACACACACTACTTTCTCACCCACGGAACTTCTATTAAGAAAATGTGCCAAACAAACACTTTGCTATCACACTGTTTGGCAAATGTCAAGCCTTAATAGATAGTTGAGGGCTTGCTGTAAGCTTTTCATGAGTCTTACAGTCTTAAGGAAAAACAAAACAACTCAGGAGCTCAAAGTGATTTGGACATAGGCAGTGGGGTCCTGGATTGAGACTTGTTTATCCTGCTGTAGTTAAATTAATGAAACTGAACTGTGACTTCATAGACTAAACGTTAATAATGTGCCCAGCAAATATTAGATTAATATTATAGAGGTTAATAGTTATTTTAGCAATAGCAACAAAAACCAGTAATATCTAAGTTGGATGGTGTCATATTAAAGCACTATAAAAACAAATTTGAAAATCATTCCTTTCCCACAAAAACTTGCCAAGTCCAGGCAATGCCTTTATGTATGTCATTCTATAAACAGATATTCAGAATCTTGAATGAAGACTGCCATCATATATGACCTAAAATCAAATAGAAGTACAACGGGGGATATTTCTTTTTTTTTTTATGGGGGATCGGTTAAGGGAGAGGGAGAGAAAATCTTAAGTAGGGGCGCCTGGGTGGCTCAGTTGGTTAAGCGACTGCCTTCGGCTCAGGTCATGATCCCAGGGTCCTGGGATCAAGCCCCGCATCGGGCTCCCTGCTCGGCGGGAAGCCTGCTTCTCCCTCTCCCACTCCCCCTGCTTGTGTTCCCTCTCTCGCTGTGTGTCTCTCTCTCTGTCAATTAAATAAATAAATAAAGTCCTTAAAAAAGAAAATCTTAAGTAGGCTCCACGCCCCATGTAAAGTTTGGTGCGCGGCTTGATCTCACAACCCTGAGATCATGACCTGAGCCAAAATCAAGAGTCAGATGCTTAACTGACAGAGCCACTTCTAAGTGGGATACTTCTTTTTTTTAAAAAAACTTTTTATTGTTATGTTAATCACCATACATTACATCATTAGTTTTTGATGTAGTGTTCCATGATTCATTGTTTGCATATAACACCCAGTGCTCCATGCAGAATGTGCCCTCCTTAATACCCATCACCAGACTAACCCATCCTCCCACCTCCCTCCCCTCTAGAACCCTCAGTTTGTTTTTCAGAGTCCATTGTCTCTCATGGTTCGTCTCCCCCTCCGATTTCCCCCCCTTCATTCTTCCCCTCCTGCTATCTTCTTCTTCTTCTTTTTTTAACATATATTGTATTATTTGTTTCAGAGGTACAGGTCTGTGATTCAACAGTCTTACACAATTCACAGCGCTCACCATAGCACATACCCTCCCCAATGTCTATCACCCAGCCACCCCATCCCTCCCACCCCCCACCACTCCAGCAACCCTCAGTTTGTTTCCTGAGATTAAGAATTCCTCCTATCCGTGAGGTCATATGATACATGTCTTTCTCTGATTGACTTATTTCGCTCAGCATAACACCCTCCAGTTCTATCCATGTCGTTGCAAATGGCAAGATCTCATTCCTTTTGATGGCTGCATAATATTCCATTGTATCTATCTATATATATTATACATAATGTATATATATATACATAATATTCCATTGTGTGTATATATATATATATATGTGGGATACTTCTAAGATGAGATTTAGAACACAAATTCTAGAGGACAGGGAGCACCTTATAGAATCATAAGTTTCCAATCATAACATACTCAAATATCCCCTTAGCCTTTCATTTTTTTCCCTCATTTTTATGAACAACTGTCTTGTTGAATGACCCAGCTGTATTCTGTCTTGCTCTACAGCATTCATGTGATAAATATTTTTCTTTATTAACTTAGTTTATCTTCCAAGACCTCAAGACCAGTCTACTGGATGTTCTGTCACCTAGCCATTCATTAACACTGACTGAGTCCTGGAAAAGAGCCTCTGAAAAAGGAAGAGAAAATTAGAAATCCCCAGGATCCTAACTATGGGATTTTAGCCTTCCAAATTGGTTGAATGCCAAGCCATTGCAAACATTTCTATTTTGGAAGTCTTTTAAAGCTGTTGCAATGGCCATTGTCATTCACAGGCATGCCAGGCCCCCAGTGACACTGAGCACCCTGTGGAGCAGTAACAGGATGCTGATGTCACAGAGACTTGAATCATTCATGTCACTCCCAAGTTTCATCTCTGGCTGCCTATTTGGGGAAATAAATGTTTAGTATCTCAAAAATGTATCAAGCCTTAAATGAGGCAAACAACAGACCAAGATAGCCTCATGGATTCCAAAGTCTCTTACTGGCCTCTACTTATCAGTTATTATAGGTCAGATCATTCAGCAGGACACCTGGTATTTGGGACAGACTCTTCTTCAAAAAAGGATGAATCTTGGTTTTATAGCCTTACTTATCCCTGGGTGACTTTTGGGGGAAAACATCTGTAATCTGCAAAAATTAAAATTAAACAGGTCTACAGTATTTTGCTTATTTAGATAATGTAGATAATTACAAGGTATAGACATATCAATCACATTCCTTCAAAAGGTCCTGGAGAAGGCAGCCTGCCCTTGAAAGTGTGGCCCAGCATCACAGGGGGCTGATGCAGGACAAAATGCAGGCAATGTGTACACACAGTACCAGGCCCCAAGGACATGCTTAACGTGAGTACTAGGATCATTGCACGGTGACCCCTTCATTCTTTGACACATCCCTGCCCTAGACAATGTAAGGTGTCTAGAGATCAAAGCTTCCATGTTTTGCAACACAGCATATAACCCAAAGGAAAGCGAGAAGGTCAGCCCTATACAACAAAGGCCAAGGCCCTCCAGGTAGAGTCTTTTCACCAACTTTGAAGCTTGTTCCAAATGTGCACCATACTTTTGGGTAGGAAGATTTCTCATGCATTCATTCAACACATATTTGAGAAGCTACCATATACCAGGGATTGTCCTAGATTCTGGAACAGATTTTTACTATGGGCTTTCAGAACTGAGAGAACAATCCCAGGTATAGAAAACCACAAAAGGCATCTGGCAAAATTATTAGAAGTTGGAGGAGAGACATTGCAAATCTCTCTGTTTCTGGCTCTGGCCTCATTTACAGGTCTGGTCAATGGCCTGAAGAATGACCTGCCCTTCTCCCTAAGTCTTGTCCCAACATTAGAGCAGAGCACTCCCACCAGAAGCAGAACCCTCCAAAACAGCTAAGGGGCCCCCACAATGATGTAATAAGCCTCTACTTTCTGTGGTTCTTCTCCATGGTTCCCTTTTGTTGGCTCTCACTGAAGTGTGCCTGGAGCTTCTGGGCTATAGGTAAGGAGCACAGGAGGGGTGAGTGAGGAGGTGGAAGGAGGCAGCAAAACTCTCTGCATCAGTCACTTAATGCAGTAGGGGTCCCATCTGAGGCTTATTGTTGGAAAGAATACTAATGACTGTTAGCACGCTCTTGCCAGCAGCTTGCCAAGGAACCATCTGCAGGATACCAAGGGAGGACTGCCCTGCTGACTGGACCAAAGCAGGCTTCTCTGTTGTCGGTTTTCATTCAGTTGAGACTGGGTCCCAAGTGTGGTGGGGTAAGACAATGAGGGCCCTGGGCACTATTCCTTGTAGGTACCTGGCCAGGATAGCAGCTGAGGGGCACCTTGTACTGTATTACTCTCTCAAGAATTTTCTATTCCAACTGTGCTTTGCTTATCTTTCCCTCTTCTCCCCAATGAGAACTGTGCATCCTTTTTTGGAATAATTCCTGATTACGTTTTCCAGTGTTAGCAGACAACCTTAGCCTAAACATATTTTCATTTTTATGTAGATCTGTTCCCTTTATTTTCCAAATTTTCCTTTAAAAAAAACTTTAAGAACACTTTTAAAGGTTAGTCCTTTCTGTAGCTGTTTTCCTAAGTGTAAGTAGTAATATCTTTTCTATAGTTTGAGGGCAATTGAGATCACTTGACCCCAAATAAAATATCACCAGTTTATATCTTTATTTAGCAGTTCCCACTTAAAAACTGTAACCAGATGGTCAAATGTCATGTCATTAATCTTCCAACCGGGGTTATGGCAAGTGTAATCACTCCTAATTTGTTTCTGTAAAGAAAAGGACATTGACAGATTAACTGGTGTGTTCACAGAACCCCAGAGTCCTACATTCTGAAACAGAAAATCAGCTTGCCAGCTCCATACATCCTAGTTCATCAGCCTAGAGAGGCATTTTAAGATGTGATGGAAAACATGTGGAGGTATTGCAATCACTCAACATTAATCTCTACACTTGAAGCCTTGGGAGGTAATGATGCATGTAAATTTAATTAGTATGTAGACAACATCAATTTTCTCACAAAGGAAGAAAGAAAATTCTCTAGCATCCTGCACTCTTCAATCTCTGTCAATTGCCTTGAGGAGTAGCTCTTGAGGTGGATGTCTGAATCTTGAACTTTCCATCAGCAAAACCCTTCATCAACCACTCCCATGGACCTTTCATACCTTCTAGAGTACAAGTTCTGATTATCTTACCTCCCCAACTCCTGAGATTCCTAAACCTCTACTCCCAGTATTATTCTTTGCCCCCCAAATACCATCACCCTGATCAGGGACAAATTGCTCTCTGAATAACCAACACTGCCCAAAAAATCATTATTTAAAAAAAAAAAATGTCTATTGAATGCCTGAAAGTTTTTGTATAGAGTTAGATCCAAAATAAGGTCTGGTAAGTGATCACATTCCGGCCTTCAGCAACTTAACATTCTAAAACAAACACCTCAAGTAGCAGATGGCTAGACATCTTTCACTGAACTTCATATATATGCTTTAGTAGTCAGCAGTCAAAAGGGAAAAAGATAAGTATTTGGAAAAAATCAGAATAATTTAAGGGTTATTAGAGTAAAATTGTTAAGAGCTCAGACTATGGAATCAAACCAAACAGGGTTTGAATTCCCAATGTCACAATGGCCACCCAACCTCTTGAAGATCAGTTTCTTCATCTGTAAAATAGAATAATAGCAGGAAATAGCTATAAGGTTGGTATGGGGATTAAATGAAGTGATACATACAAGGTTCTTAACAAGCCTATTCCAAAAACTATTAGTTGTTATTATCCCTGCTAACTTATAAATTCCAAGAAGCCGTGTTTTGTCATTATAATAATAGCTATTATTAAAATTACCTTGTAACAATTAAGTAAATTGCCCAAACCACTCACCTAGAAAATGGTAGAGACAGGAACTGAACCCTGGCCAGCCAGCTCCAGAGCTAGCCTTCTCAGCCAGCACACAACTCCTGGAGTATTGAACACAGACGACATATTCAATAGACATCTGTTGAATGGATGAATACTTTTGGCCCAGGCAAACAAACTTACCACAAACAAGGAAGGCAACTGTGGGAGAATTTTAAACAAGGCAAGGGTTTCATGAAAGCTTTGAGAGGCTTTCATCTCTTCATGTAACAGGAGTAATTATTTCTGACGGTGATTCCTTAGCATGAAGATGTCACCCTGAGTCAAAGAGGCTGCATTTCTTCACCTGTGGCCCAAGAGGAGAACTTCATGGCCTGCAGAATGTCCACAATACCAAACTCAGGTGTTTTCAAGGCCACCTGCCAGTCTCACCTGTCTAGTACCTCTCAGCACGCTCCTTAATAGGCCGATGAAGTAAAGCGATAGGGTGCAAGCTCCTTCAGGAGAAAGGTGAATTATCACTCTTGTTCTCTGTACCTTGCACCAGACACCATGTACTGGAGAGCTAACTCCTTGTGGATTGATGAGCTTCCTCTTGGTCTCTCTGTTCTGCTTCTCCACTCCTACTAGAGTTCTCTTCCTTCAATCCCATTACTCAGGTCACCAATTTTCAGTTCTACAATTTGTATTCTGGTTCCTCATTCAACGCACTTGTCGTGCAGTTAGTCTTCGTTAATGAAGACTAAAAGGGAAGAAATTACTCACATTTCAATGAGTTTATTATCTAAGCCAGGGGCCATCTCAAGCAACGCCTTTGAACTAGCAATCATCTAATGGACAGGCAGTGTAACCGAGTGGTGGGAGTGTGGGCTCTGGAATCAGACTGCCTGGGATGGAATCCTGAATCCATCCATTTCTGGGATTGTAGGCAAATTGCTTCCTCTTGATTTCTCCCTGCCTCAGTTGCTCATCTATAAAGTAAGACTAACAAGGATGACTACAGCATAATGCCATAGCAAGAATTAAATGTGATAAGACATGCAAAGGGATTCACACAGTGCCTGGCACATAACAAGTACTCAATAAATATTAGCTATTAAATCTTGAGGCTCATGTAGCCTATGGCTTGTCATTATCCAATGCATATGTAACACCTCCTGACTATAATGGCAAGCCGTCGTGGAGGCCTAGAACTCAGGTCAAGGAGAGTGCATGTGTCCTGGGGTACATCGCATATAAAGTGCCTGGCAAGGGGTAAATTGCTTGGATTTGATATTGGAGCCAAAGGGAAGATTTCCAGGCTCAAGTCTATAAACATGTACTACCTCCCATAAGATTATAAGCTTCTGATCTCGGTTTTAGATGATATGAATAATTATAATTCTGAAAATAAACAGATTCAGTGGTGTGTGTTGGTGGTGGTCAGGAAGAGAGATGTATTTTTTTGATGTACCAGGAAGATTCCAGATCCCAAGGGATACTTGTTGGGATTTTTAAGGGATATCTCAGGGCTAAAGATCAAATGTGTTATTGCCAGCAAGGTAACAGTTGAACCTACAGGCGCAGAGAAGAGGACACAGAATGATGGTATATAATAAAAGCCAAAGGGAGGAAAATAACTGGAGCGTGGTGGGGCTTGTGTCAAATGTTCCAGGGAAGGAAGCTGGGGGTCGAAAAATGCCACTAGATTTCATAATTAGCATATCATTGATGAGCTTTAATAGTTCAGTAGAGTAGCTTTAACTGAGGTCATATTTTAAGGGGTTAGGGAATGTGCAGGTGGTAAAAAGTTGAAACTGTCAGTTTTCAGTAAAGGATGTCAAAATGTAAAAGGGAGAAGACTAATTTGACATATCTAAAGACCAAATGCCCAACACATTTTTGGGGGCAGGGAGGGTCAGAGACAGAAACTCTATCTTACTCATTTCCACATCCCCACCCCCGGCCTACAGACATTGCTTTATCAATGCTTATTGAATGAGGGAGTCTTAATACATTTAATCAACACTTAATCTGCTAAATATTAAGTATACTTAGCTACACTTAGCATGTAACAATTATTACAGTGGTAATTTGTCCACTACAATCGGGTCCATTCTTTCAAAATAAGCATTCCATTTCTGTTGGAAGTGGTTGGGAGGTGAGGGGAGACCCTGCAACGGCCTTGCTCTGGGGGCCTGGCCTTGAGTAACTTGCAGAAATGCTGGCCAACAGCCACGCATGAGTTGACCATGACCAATGGCAGGCACTCAGCTGCCTCCAAAGAACTAACTGATAATTTTCCTTTCAGTTAATGAAGAACTGTCGCAGAGTCCCCATGACCAGCACAAACGCAAGGCTGGCTCTTACCTGTACCAGCGGATGAAAAGAACGTGACTTGGGGACTGATCGATCCATGGCTAAAGCGCAGCGAATGTCTACTGGTCAGAGAGCAACGGTCAATGGCTTAGCTATTAAAATAAGTTCATAAATTCGAACAACAGCACAAAAGGAATACTGAAAAGCTTGTTCTGAACCACTTTGCAAAGTGGCAGCTATTACCCAGGGGTACACCTACGAGACTCAGTTAAATAGCAGTTCGTTGGAGAGTACCAAGAATATAAGATTCTCTTGGATGTGCACTATGGACTGGACGCTTGGCAACTTTTTAACTTTTATAGGACTCCGTCTACTCTGAAGGACACTATTTTTTTAAGTAAAAGTCTTAAGTATCCTTATTACATAATCCCATGGAAGTGTACATCATTCTGATTTTATAGGTGAAGAAATTCTGGTAGAGAGCAAATGGATAGCAAAAGACAAGTGCCTTGAGAGCACTGTGGATTCCCTCTGCGAGAGTATTCCCACTTCCTCCACCTGCCGCACGGCAACTCTAAAATGGCGCACTTCCAGGCATCACTTCCGGCCCTGAGTTTGCTTCTTTCCCTTTTCCAGCTACCTTCACAAACCACACCACCCTTGTGATGACCCACAAAACAAGTGGAGTCTCTCCATACTAGATATGGATCACCCATGAAGGCAGCTTTCAAGCAAGCAATGGCTTGGGAATATTGTCAATTTGCTGGTGGGCAAAGGGAAGAAGAGGACATTCACGTAACTCATATGGAGAATAGCTCAAGCATTTGCCTCTAAAACCAAAACATCAGGGAGCTGTTTCTCAATACGGAAGGAAGTCAACATTTCACTAGCAGAATTCTTTTCTCAGTGGGAGCCCCAAGGAGCCAACATAGATAACCAAAAAGAAACACTTAATCCAAAGTGGTCATTAAAATAGATTGAGTACTCTTGTGCTCACCACAGTTTTCTAGTTAAGACCACAAAAGATGCTCCCCATGTCCTAAGTGGGAGTCTGGTTATATTCCAATCTTTGCATGTGAATCTAACAAGCTATTAGAGTGATTAACTTTATAAAATGTACCGAGTTTGGTCACCTGTAAGAAATGCACCGACTTTTGTAGTGACATACAATCTTACGAAAGATGGTGTGAATGACCAAAAGCAAGGAGGGACCACTGGTGCTGGGTATTTTCTTAGCTACCCCTCTCCCCACTTCAAATTCTTCACATATGTCCAGAGGCATTAGTCTCCATTTGCCCCTCTTGCATAATGTAAAACCCAGTGTTTGAAGACACTCATTCTGTGTTTTATTGCATTTGATTACAATGGAACTGTCTGCTGGGGCTTTCAGACTGAGGTAATTTAAAATAACAGCGTTCGTGCCATATGGAAGGAATAATAATATTCTATCAGTTCTGGGAGGGATCTCTTTTTAGCCCCCGATGGAAATCAGCTTATGTAAAAATGCTTTCTTTAACAGAAGGCGTGAAAGGATGCATCGTATTCCCAGCTGCCAGCCAAATCTGTGGTTTGGCCACCAGGGTTGGCTCCACCTTCTTCTGGAAAGACGGGAGCCTGGCTTTTGGTCCTGGTGGAGGCAAGCCCACCATCTCTTCCTGCCCAGGGAAAAAGCATCCCAGCTACTGTGATAACGGATGAGCTCCCAACACGTGTTTTCAGCGATAGTTATAACCAAGGAGTTTAAAGCAAGACCCATTTCTTTTGTTGCTGTTGAGAATAATTTCCAATGAAGTCCTGAGCAGATCCGTGGTTTTTATGTGTAAAGAGAAACAGAAACATCTTTTCCCATGGAAAGACCAAGTCCCAAGGGTTTTGCTACAATCTGCTTGAAGGCACGGCTGCTCAAATTGTCAAGGCCTTCCCAGGGCGCTGCCAGTCAGCTACACTTGCTCTTCAGATGCTCACAGCCCAGTTTAAGATCTTCTTCTGGCTTGGCTTGCTTTGGCTCGTCTGCAGGGCTCCTAGACCAGGTGGCAGCCTCCTTACATTATCCTCTACTCTGCTCCACCCTGTGCTCCAAAGCCTCTCACCAGGGCCCCAAATGCACACACAACCCCACAGGGTCTCACAAGGGCTCCTAATCTTCTTTCTAATGTTCTAGTACCTGAAAGAATTCCCACCTGTTTCCCCAGCCCGAGACCTTCGACAAAATAATGCTCTTGTTATGTTGCCAGGTATTCAGTGAAGATTCACCGAAGAATTTTTTTTCTTTTTTCTTTTTTACAGAGCTGAATAAAGCTGTTAATACTAACTTCCTACCTCTCTTGTTAACAGTGCTGGGAAACTGCAATCCCATACAAGTTGACCAAACAGAAAATGGGGCAAGGAAGGACACATGTTATGTTCCCCGAGACGTTATTCCCAACCCTTAAAAAGCAAACTTACTTATAATTAATTCGACCAGGTAATAGCCTCTAGTATTTTCTAGAATTTAGTAGCAATTAGAAAATCAGGAACAGATAAAGACTCCCATACACCAAAAACAACTTTTCCTTGAAATCTTAAGCTCCTTGGCAACGTTGTGTCTCAGAAATCAGAATTCATAGCTATTAAAACACATTCTGGAAATTAATTTTCTGACTTGTTTAGGAACAGAATTTTTAGAACAAATACTCTTGAGATTCTTGCTTTCTGACTTTATAATTAGTGTGCTAATCAGAAGAGACCTCTGAATTTATCAGAATTTACACAATGGTATTTACCCTGGCAAATGAGTGACGAACAACAGAACAGAAAACATGCATTCAAAACATTTAAAATTACCACCAAACATATTGGAAATTTAAAAATGCCTTCCACTGTTGTTTTTTTTTTTAGTTATTCAAACCCATATTCCCAAACCCAGATTATTAAAAGCAGAGGTTCCTAACTTTTATTTAGATAATAAAGAAGCCTTTTGAGAATTTGATGAAAGCCAGGAATTTATTCCTAAGAAACATGCATACACCCACAATTTCGCATATATTTGGGGAAAGTTCAGACCCTTGAAATCCATCCAAGAGTCTGTGGTTAGGAAGCCTGCAGCTAGAGTCTCGGAGTATTTGCGCAGCCTCCACATGGTGGACAATGAGTAGACCGTAAGAGGTCCCTGACATTGTGGGGTTCTCAGGGAAGTGAGTCCACATACCTCCAAAGCCCAAACCTTTTCAACAGACTTCCCAAGTAACCCTAGAATAGCACAGAATTGTACTAGGGAAAGCCCTCAACACAGCTCAGACTGGCATGATCTTCCATAAATTTGCCAGTGGTGGATCACCTCATGCACAGTGCTTTTATTACTGACGATGCCTGCCGTGTTTGGAGGGTTATTACTGTGCTAGGAGCTCCGCTCGGCATTGTACACATTTTTATCAGAATATCCCTGCACTGAGATGTAGAAGTACCCTCACTTTAAGTGCCTTCATTAAAGTCACATGGTTCAGTTACTCTGAGTGGGGGACTCAAAGGTCCAGCTGCAGGGTTCTGAGGCCTTTGTATTCGAAGCAACAGATCATTTTATACAACCTGAGGCTGCTATAAATCTAAGCTGGCACCATAACTATACACAGGGTCGGTGTTTGACCCTGTGGCCAAGGGTCAGGAGCGCAGCACCTAGGATTTGCCAGCTGCCCATGTTTTCTTCTGGAGCTGGTGCTGCAGTCCAGGCTGGCTTCTGTCAAACTAATCAAGGTATATTCCCTCCTGTTACTGTCTCAGCAGGAACATTCAAGTGTCCCAGTCTCTCGTGCGAGCACGGAAGACAGGCGGAAACTGACCAGAGCTCCATGCAAAGAAGAACCATGTATTCTTCTCTAACAATACATGGAGGAAGGGCTTAAAAAAAAAAAAATTATGGGGCTTAAGGGTATTTTTTTTAGCCTTTTATTTATTTTTTAAAGATTTTATTTATTTGACAGAGAGAGAGAGATAGTGAGAGAGGGAACACGAGCAGGGGGAGTGGGAGAGGGTGGAGCAGGGAGCGCGATGCGGGGCTCGATCCCAGGACCCTGGGATCATGATTATTTAGGAATATTTTAACAGGATGATATAATAAACCCTTATTTACCATCGCCTGGCATTAGCAATTACCCACTAACGGCCAATCTTATTTCATCTGAACCACAACTCACTCCTCTCTACCTACAATTGAATCTCAATTATGTTTTCAGATATCAAATAATTATGTGCATAAATAAGGGGAAATACTTAATGAAGTCCATGTTGGGCAGTGGTTATGGCTACAGTCTGCTTCATTGCTGGAGTCCTGGTGATAGTCATTCCACGAACTGTGGGTCTATGCAATGAATAATGCAATGTACAATGGATCATAAAACAGAAGCTACTCATGACAGTGAAATACCAGACATCTACCAACTCTACATATTTTAAAAATAACCTCATTTTTTATCCAGCTGTGGTCTGTGGAAAACGCACTGCTATTTCCTGCATTCCACACGGGATTGTTTATAAGGCTTATGTATGATGTTACCTGTAAAAACCCCATGCAACTAAAAGGAATTATTGCAAGGAATTATTGCTTATCACCCCAAAATTATATGGCTTTTAAGATAAACAATTACACCCAGACATCTCTCACCTCAGTGAACACTGTTGACCTATTTCTTACTCTATCACTTGGGGTTTTGAAAGCTCAGTTTACAGAACAAGCTAATATCCTGGGAAATATTTTCTAAGAACTACAAAATATTAAGAACGGCAGCCTTGCTGCTCCAGCTACACATGGCATGACTTATCAACACTGTTCCCAGCTGCTCTTTGGGTCCTAGGCCCCACAGATGCTCTAGGTGTCTCCGGGACCCCAAGCCCTGTCCTTGCTATCTCAGCTGACTGAAACTGAGCCCTAATCAAACACAGCATTTCCTGTTCACTGGGAGCTGCTGTGGACACTTCCTATCAGGGCAATTATCACTGGAAGGATGGACGGATCTGGTTCTCAAAGAACTCTTAGTAAATCCAACCTCTGCTTTAAATATGAACACTATCCATACAAGCTTTCTGATGAGAAATAGATTCACAGAACCACATTTGGCCCCCTAATGTCACTAAGGCTTGGCTTGCGGAGATCGGCTTCTCCAAAGAGGAGTGGTTTCTGTAATAATTCTGCAGGAAGTGAGAAAGACCTCTCACAAGGTGAGAGAGAATTCAGTGGGAACAGATCCCAAAGAAGACAGTCATGTAAATTGTATTCAACGTGCTCACTTGAAAGGACTAGAGAAATTCTACGTAACATTTTAAAACGGAATAGACCCTGTTGGTCTTTTGCTGTGTAATGTTTTCAATGTGTAGAAGAAAATGGAGCACTTAATCCGATGTGTCTTGGCAAAAGCTTCATAATGAACCACCCCAATTAGACACGGATGCGGCCCCCTTGGTAGAACCCATTCTGCTTGTTAAGGTCCACCGGACAGTAGAGCAAAACATGAAGCAGAGGAGGGTTCAGATGGTGGAACTAAAATATTTTCTGAAAACAAAACAAAAAATACACAAAGAAAACACGTGGAGTTTTCCCTCGGAAGATCTGCAAGGCGGTGGTGGGCTGCGTACACAGGCTGGAGGAACCTGGCATTCCAAGCAATGCATTTCCAAACCTTCAATGCCGCCTTAGCCATTTCGCACTGGTGATGTGGGCGACAGCAGCAAATTATAAAAGATCGGAATAACAGATTCTAAAAAATGCTGCATTTCACCACGTAGTAAGACTTTTACCTGAAAATATCACTCATTTGTTTTTTAAACCTTTATAAAAAAGAGAAGCGACAAGTTTAGAGAATAAACACACTTTATTTTATAACAGTATTACAGAAAGCAAAATATCATTTAATACAACTTGAAGCTGCTATAAATCTAATCTGGCATCGTAACTATACATAGGGTCAAAAGCAAAGGAAAACATATTCAATACCGTTAATAGGTCCCTATCAGGTCTCTGGTGTCAGCTGTAAATGGTATCGCTTCCTTACAACCATCAAAAAAACCCCACCACAGCCCCTGCTCTTCTCCCCAGTGTCCTCAAACCTGTGTGAATCATCCAACTATCTGAAAGAGATATACCTGCTCAATAACAAAAGGTCAGTTTTACAAGTAGACAGGGAGGTTTAATACAAAGCAAGTGTTCTACACAAAGTGTTCAAATAATGGAAAGTCTTGAAATTTGGACATGTTAAGAAAGAAAGCACTAAGGTTTTAAGCTGCCTGAATTTTTAGTAGAAGGGAAGAAACAGTAGTTTCTCTTTTTCCTCCCTCCTGGTTCTGGAATGCTGCCGAAGAGCATGTGTCTGAGAAGAGTTGGCACTGTGGCGTGACAGGGTCTCGAAACACAGTGCGTGGTCAGTGAGCTTCTTTGTAATTCTCCAGTCTGGAGCATCTCTGACTTTCAGTAAAAAGTCAGAGGACTGGAAAGTCAGAAAGGGTCCAATATAAAAAACAGCCCCAATGAAATTCTCAAACATTAGAAAATTTTCAGGATGTAAGAAATGCTTTTGATCTGTATTAATATTTTCTCATACAGTATATTTACCGCAATCGGAAAACTCCGTAAATATTTACTGTAAGGATTCAATGAAAAGGATCTGGAAGACAGGAAAGCCACTATCGGAAATTAGTCACAGAGTTTCCTTTCCACACAACAGCACCTGTTCAAGTGAACACACCTTACCAGCGTGGGGCTGGCTTTGTTCACTATCATTTGATCAAAATGAGTGATAAAAAGCAGGTAGTTGTACACAAAGTAAACAGGAAACAAAGACAAAACTCCCTAATTAAAAAGAAAAGAAAAGAAAGAAAGAATCAAGAATATTTAGAAGTGGTTATAAAACAAAATAATGTATTAAAATGCGAGGGAACGGTATAGACCAGAGCTGTTAAGGTAAGGTTTGGTTGTTGGCATTTTAATTCTTCAGGCTCCTGGTCATTGTTACCAGTTGTAGAATAAATTCGCTGGAGTAGTGGTATGGCATTAAGACTTGGAATGGTCAAAATTCTTCAGGTTCACAAAGTTGAGTGTTGTTTAAAAAATGGAATTTCTGGGAAGAAAAAAAGAGAGAAAAGACTTAAATATTCCAAAGACAGAGGCTTGAAAAACCACGTTAAGTAATGTGCCATCCAATTCCAAATCAAATAACCAACAGTTACGATTTGCCTAGTTCTACAGTAAATAGCATGTTGACCAGAAGACAAGCACGAAAGTCTATTCCACCCCCAGGGGCCTTACGATATGTGGAGGACTGACAAGCACATAGAAACAACTGGCAAATAAGAATACACACACAAACAGAGTTAATTATAGAACAGAGAGAACTCATTCATTAACAATCCAAAACAGAGAAACCAATGTAGGCTTCAACATTAGATTCAAGGAAGGTGGAAAAACAAAGTCCATTCTGACTTCTTTGAAATGAATGGAAAAGGGGCTGCAGGTGAGGAGAAGAGAATGGGGCAAGAGGCCAAGAAGTGAGACAGCGCATGGTGTTAGTGGGCATATGCAGAGTATGGGGGGCAGGCAGCAAGAACGAGTGAGGAACAGGATGGTGAGGAAATGGACATTACTGGAGAGAATAACAGGGTGAGGAATGGAAGGTCGGGTAGTCTTTAATACCAGACTGAGGAGTACAAACTTGATCAAACAGACAAAAAAAGGACTGAAGTCAGAAAGAGCATTCAGACAAAAGACCAGCTGCCAGTTTACTGCTATGATCCAGAGGTAGAGTGCAAGGGGCAGAAGACAGGTCAGAGAGCCCAGGGGGCGAGTCCACATAGCGCATGACAAGCCCAGGAGAGGGGGAGGCTGGTTTTGAGGAAGGCTTGACATTGCCTGGTTTATGTTCTGAAAACATCACTGCAGCTTGAGTCTGATGAAGAGGCCAAGGGTGGGGAGGAGAGAGACGGGAAGGCCAGGTAGGATGGCTAGGTGATGAGGACTCAGACTTGAGCGAAACCAGGTGGAAGGGTGGACAGAGAGGCACCCTGTAGGAGCGCTATCAGAGGGCGGGGACGAGCAAGAAAGTACCAGGTAGCTCGACCATATTTGGAGTCTGGGACCTCAGGACAGGCGTAAAGCCCAGGTGAGGTCTTAGGACCAGGGACGTGGATTTGCAGGCTGGCGCAGAGGGCAAGTGAAACTCACAGGTGAACTAGTCTTTGTAGGTATAAGGAAAAATGAGAGATGTGAGCCCCGGGGAAGCCCACAATCGGAGGGAGGGAAGGAGAGAGAGAGGAGAGAGGACTAAAATGGGAGTGGACAGGGAGGCAGAGAAAAAAATAAGGATGGTGCATTATTCCCAACAGAAAAAAGGGTTTTGAGAAAGTAATTTTTCACTTTTTAGTTGAAGTTTTGGCAAATGGTAGGTGATTACAGAAGACAGTGGAGAGTGGTAATTAAGGTCCTTTCTAAGAGACACTGGCCCCAAAGTCAATCAGAATACACATTCTTTTGGTTAGATAAAATTAAGTCTTGTTTTCATAGAAAAACTCTCCACCATTGAGATTTATCACAGGTATTATTTTAGCCTCTTCATTATACAGGACAGATTGATTAATCAAATTCACTGTCTCCCACCTGTTGTCTGCTTTAGGCTGTTTCATTACTCATTAAGACTTCTGCTTGATTCTAGAAGTGGGAGGGGGGAATAAATGGAGAAAACACTAAGTCCTCTTTTTTTTAGGCTAATTATGAACAGAAACTTAGGGGATGGTGATCAGGAATGGATCAAACTACCAATCAAATTGGATTTGGGAGTTAGCTGTGACCTCAGTCACGGGATCTATTCTTGCTCTTTGGGAGCTGGTTGCTCTGTTCTCTTTGCTCAGGGAATATGCATCATTTGTTGAACGGAGCTATCACTTACGCCCAGCTTCTGTTATAGAAAAGGAACCTCTCATGTTACCAGTGCCTGGAAACCCAGAGAAAGAATGAGGTTTAGGATCCTATCCTCCATCTCTAGACTCCATGTCATGTTATTTCACTGAATCTGCTTTCACCAAAAATAAAATTTCAATTTAGAAAGGAAAGCTAAAATTAAACTTGTTTCCAAGTCATTAGCAGACAAGTAAACAGGAATTAGGAGTGTGTAGGAAATGAATGAGAGATCTTGATTTCAAAGAGCTTCAACATTTATTGAAATACATGTGGAGAAAAAGACAGTTACCCATGTAAACTCAAATGTCATTTACTTTCATTTATTCTCAATCAAACCACGAGAAAGAAAGAAACCAATTTCCTTTTCTGGTAATAAGTATTACAAATGACAATCTTAACACACTCTTAGAACTCCAAACAGTTTTCAGAGAGAAAGAAAATTACATTTATTGTAATTTTAATGTTAAGTACATTTTTTTCCATCTCATTCAAGTGCATTTTTCCCCGCTCATTCAAGTGCATTTTTTCCTCGCTCTTTAAGAAGCAGTAAATCAAGTGTAACTCTGAGCTAATTAGATATTCAGTATTTCAGAATATCCCAATTCCTCATGTTCTGGGTAAACCGGGAATAATTTATTGTAGGAAGTTTATAATTGACACATCCACCTCTCTTCTGACTGCTTTCTGTACTAAAACACATACAGAAATAAATTCCTGCAAGTAGTAAACATCTAAGTTTTTGAGCTGGGAAGGAGAAAAGATAAGAACGGAACCACCAATTCCATTGGTACACAAGCATCAGACATTTATATTTTTCCTGTTCTGGCATTTATCTGTGAGGAAAACAAAAACAAAAACAACCCAAAACCTTCATATTTGGCTTTTTTTTTTTTTTTTTTAACAGATTACATTTTGGGTCTAAATGATTTATCACCCATTCCAATCAAACTGAAGACTGTGCACTGGTTCTTCATGTAAGACCTTCATGCAAGAACTCGTTTTTTGTTTTTTTTTTAAAGCCTGAATTCTACCTCATATTCGCTGTAGTCTGGACATCTTATTTTGTCAATACAAACGGGCAGGCATTATTATTTACTACTGGCTTTTTCCTTTGGGCGACATCATAATGTTCACATAATGTTCACCTTGAGTTTGGATAAGAACGCAGCTGTGAAGTATATGGATTATACGTTAGATATAAGAATTTTGGTCAAGTAAACAATAACAGAAGCCCAAACCACTGTTTCCATGCTTCAGTTTCCCTCCCCTAGACTATACAATGTCAGTGAACATTTGTTAACTCCTATAGCTCCATTCCTTAGCCTCTGTCCCCCTCTTTTGGCCAATGTGGGAATAGGTCCGTGTGGCGGTCTCCTCCAATCCCAGCTCTAACTCTAGATCTAAATTCCTCAAGGACGTGTGCCGCTGCCTACTTTGCCTTAAGTCCTCACAGAGGGTTCCAGAACACTCAAATTTATCTTAGTGTGCCCAAGGAGCAGTGGGCAACCAGTCACATTCAAGGACAGAGCTTCTATGACTTTGAAAAACACAGCTTTAGAGTTTCCAGAGACAGGGGCTTGTAGTGTGGGGCTCAAACTTGGGCGTGCTCTTCTCCGGAAACTGGTTCAGTAAACTGCAAATGTGCACTCATAAAAAAGCATTCGACCGAAACCACTAGAAATACTGCCTGTAAGTGGGAAAGCGCTTATCCAGAGGGGTCTCAATAAAAATGCAAAAATGTGCTTTTTATCAAAAAATAATTAAACTAATGCAAGATACCATAACATTTGTCCTTGGATTAAGTAAGATTCAATTACTGTAGGGCAGCAGTATAGCCAGAGATCTTGAAAATATGAATAAAATATGCATGTGAGAAACAATCCAACTATTTCCTAAGTAAAAATGAGATCCATGCACTCAAGTGTTCAGTTTTAAATATAATAGTTTATGGTTATGGACGTCAGTTACTCCTAATGCTAGACTTTCTTCCTTGGGCCTCCAATTTGCATATGTGATTTTCATTTTTTAAATAATTTCCACTGTAAGATAGGAGTCCTAGAGCCAAAAATGCAAGTAGGATAAATCTCTATTTGGGGGGGCCTGGGTGGCTCAGTCGGTTAAGTGTCTGCCTTCTGGTCAGGTCATGATCCTGGGGTCCTGGGATCGAGCCCTGCATCTGGCTTCCATGTTCGGCGGGGAGCCTGCTTCTCTCTCTGCCCCTCCCCCAGCTCATGCAGGCACGCATGCTCTCTCTCAAATAAATAAAATCTTTGAAAATAATTCCGATTTGGTTAACCCAGGAAGGTCCATTCTTAGTGTTTATAGCACCACTTTAGATCCACCAGTTCTCAGTGAGTTCTGCCGACCCCGAGGGTCACTCAGACTCTTTTCAGGGGGTTGCGAAGTCAAAGCTATTAAAGAAAAAAAAGCGATTTCATCATCCCACGAAGACGTTAACTGTCCTTTTCAGGGGGTGGACATTTTCACCGACAGTGCAACACCCGATGGCATCTTGCCACATGTCAAGGCAGTGGCACCAAACTGTACCAGAAGTCGCTGGACTCATAACCACCACACGCTCTCAGTGAAGTAAGAAACAAAGACGGCAAGCCAGCCTCACTTAAGGATGTCCTGGATGAAACACAGAAAATTACTGTCTTACATCTGAACCGCTGAGTTCGTGTCTTTTTAACATTCTGTGTAATGAAATGGGAAATGGGCACAGATTACTCCTGCTGCATACAGAAGTACAATGGATGTCTAGAGAAGAAAAAGAATGCTTGAATTGTGAATTGAAGAAGCTGCCTTTTCACAAACACCTTTTTTATTTGAGAATTATTGACGGACAAACTGTTATTCTATCTGGCAGGCATTTTTTTTTTTTTGTTTTAAGGATTTTATTTATTTATGTGACAGAGGGAGACACAGCGAGAGAGGGAACACAAGCAGGGGGAGTGGGAGAGGGAGAAGCAGGCTTCCCGCCGAGCAGGGAGCCCGATGCGGGGCTCGATCCCAGGACCCTGGGATCATGACCTGAGCCGAAGGCAGTCGCTTAACCGACTGAGCCACCCAGGCGCCCCGGCAGGCATTTTCTTGAAAATGAGGTGAGCCTGTCATTTCAAGGAAAACAACTGACAATATACTTGTGGCCAGTGATAAAATTCAAGC